TTAATTTCTACCTTTCCAGGCCCAGAAAGGATAAACTGTTCATCCTGCTGGCCCCGGTGTTCTCATTCAATATCCCACCAGCTGCTGTTTTTCATCACGAGGGTCCTTATGAGAAGCTGCGAATCTGCCTCGAATATACAGGAATGCCAATGGATCCAGCCAAAGGTTCCTGGATTCTCTTAGCTATTTTTTGCCCGAATATATCATTTATTACTCAAAAGAGGTTCTATCCAGATGTCTCATTGATATTTAAAAAGTTCCCCGGCTGGTGTACATGGAAAATTGAAAAGAAAAAGGAAGCCTTTGACTTACTTGTGAGTTTCATTCGTCTTCAAATGGTAGGTTCCCTTCCTTAGCAAACAGGACTCCCAGGAAAAGCGGCATACGGGAGTCGGGACTAGTATTCGAGCTAATGGTGAGGGGGGGGGGTGTACCGATGAAAAAGTCCGTTCATGAAACCCGCCACGAGGTGGCCGGGCATCATCGACCCTCCAGATTTGCTTTTTATTTTTAGCAGGGCACGGGTATTCAAGTCGACTCTTACGACTCCTCCCTTTTTTTGGGAGTTGGTACGACTCCCCCCCCCCATCCCAAGCCGTATTGTCCTTCTACGATCGAGCCGTCGGGGTGCGGGGGGGGAATATACGCATGTTGAATACCGGAATCAACGTCACTCGCACAACGCCAACGTAATAGGCCCCTTCGCTCATAACAATCAAATACGCTTTCCCTTTACAAAAGTCCTGAGCGAGAAAAATCAACTATCAAAATAAATTTTCTCAGCCCAAATACGACCCCCCCTCCTGGCGACCAAATACGATCGCGATCGTTGGGGTTCCCTAATCACACGGCTTAATCGCTCAAGTCGCAAACCATGAACGCAGATCCATAAAAATTGAGTAACAGATAAAGTAGCACCTGCTTGCAGGGTAAAAATCGTGAAGAAGCGAAGAAAATGATAACGAACACACCATCTCGTAAGCCACTTGTTTTCGAGGAGATCCCTGACGTACTGCCATCAGTGAGTGCTTTATTTTCTTCCACAGATCCTAATCTACTGAAGCCCTCTGGACCGCTGGCACCCAGCGAACTATGTGGTAATCTGTTAGCTGTATTAAGTTTATCCATTTATTATGATTAGATTAGTTAATACCCTAAAAATGCAGCAACAGCACCGAACACATTAAGGGAAGTTGGCTTGATAGTTTGGTACTCTGTCTAGAATGGTAGCATGAGCGCTAAATAGTGGGAAAATCGCGAAAAAGCTAAGTGGAACGGTCAAACCTTTATTCTACACGAGTCACAAAGCAATTTCGGACGAGTTTTCCGCTGGCATTGTGCCAGTAACCGCTACGGTAGATACGGCTGCACGTATGTACTCATATATCCATGCAGACAGCAGCCGCTTCATATCAATCCCTTCGCCTTACATCGTCGGGATCGGTCGGACATTTGTGGGCGGGCGGGTGCGGTGCTCGTCCGGGTCGGTATGTTGCAGCTTGATAGGGGCAGGGTACCTTCCCTGAAAAAGGCGCCACGCAGCGCTTGCTCAGGGGCGCCGCATTCCGTCCTGTCAGGCGTGTTAGTCCTGTACGTCTTGGAAATTTATCGTGGCAACTGCATTAAAGCAGGTGGGCGGGACAATGTTTTGGCATCAGATAGTCCCGCCCACGTGCGTAACGCAAACCTAGCCCACAGTGGTTCGATGGCCGTGCTTAGCAGTAGAGTTTCTCAAGTAGTCAACTTAGACTATTTTTGTGTTTTCAGGACGTGTCGAAGAAGAAGAAGTGAGCTGAGTTTGTCTCCTTAATTTCACTTGGTTTATCTCTTTCGTGGTTCTTTCCGTTCTCTTCCCTGGAAACTTTTTATCATGTTCCCTTTTGCGATTTCAGGATCACGAAGTTAGAAAAAAGAAAGAAGAAGGAAGAGAAAGCGAGACCGTCAGACATTGGAATTCCAGCCGTTGAAGAATCGCCGGTCAAGCATTCTTCAGAATTGCATGTCGGTCGATTCGCTGGAAAATTGGCAATAGGAACATATCAGGAAGGTGGAAAGGGTGGTCGAAAATCCGCCAGGATGACCATTCAGGAACAACTGCATAAAGCAACACTACGCACCAAGCTAAGCGCAGAAGCTTCAAAACTCCTTCAACTCAGTCAAAGGGAGAGATGGGAGGAACCTGTTGACATAACACCAAAATCCTTCTCGCTGTCGTTCCAGCAGAAACCCGACTCAAGATGTGAATCGGTTAGCTCTGGTACGAAGTCAAGTTTGCCTAGGAAAAAAGATTCTAAACCTAAAAGCACTATGAAAGATCTAAAAGCGATTTTTGCAAAAAAGTCAAAGGAACATCTGGTGCCAATACGATTGAGCGGAGAGCACAAGGGTAAGAAGTCACGTCAAAACGTAAAAAAGCCACCCAGAGAAGCACCTTCCAGAGAAACTCAGGGTACTAAAGAGGCAGATTGATTGTGTGATCTTCATGTTTCATTCCAACATTTTCGTTATAAAAGTTCAACGCTTTTCTGTACCAGTACAGCAGTAACATAGGAACAGACAGCAAAATGAGCGAGGGGAAGGGGCATTCCAACTAGAATCGCCGTTGGCATAACACCTAGAACTACTTCAAATAGGTTCACTCGCTTTGAGCCACTTTCGTCGTCAGTCTAATTGTTAGGATAGACCTTTGAATTGCCTAGCTATGATTTAGCAGAGCGGTGCGCACACCCGCGATTTCCCCGACGTTCTCCAGCTCTTTGCTCTAACCTCCTACTTCCCCACACGGTCTACTCCGGTCGCTGGTGATTCGCTGATAGACTGGGCAGACGCTAGATCGATTCCTATACTTCAAGCCCTCGAGTGCGGCTGCTAGACGCTGGTTAGACCCCCCCCCGGCCCCCTTTTTTTTTTTTTTTTGGGGCGCAAAATTGGCTAGATTGGTATCCATACTTACTAGTCGCTCGCTGACGCTGCCGAACGCTCGGAGCGCTAGTGGTCGCTGATGGACGCTGGTAGGCGCTAGTGGACGCTGCCGCAAAGTATGAACGCGGGCTCAAAATGCCCGTCCCGAGAAGGTGATTCACAAAAGAATACACTTCTACAACTGTTTGTTGAAATTAGGAGACACCGACAAATGAGGTATCCTGGGTTCGCATAAGTGTAACCTCGAATCCGAACAGGCAGAAGATCAGCCCATAAGTCGTTATCCTCATTATACATGGACATAGTGAATAGCGACACGAAGCAGCGAATAAAGAAAAACAGTCAAAAGCTGGAGAATTATGAAGCCAAAAGCTATCAACGCTGTATCAAAGGTAAAATAGTAGTTCACAGTGATTGTCTGGGCCAAGTCAGGCGCACAGCTGGGCTTTTCCGGTTAATGCGCCCTCCCTTCTGACACAATAACGTGTAACGCTGAGCTAATGCGCAGCGACAGAGCCTTCAGTGAATTTCTGGTACATCTCTGAAATGCGATCGGATGGTGATCAAGAACAATCATCATCAGAACCTCACTACAAGCACTGTTAACCATTTATAGCCCCACTGTAAGGAATTCATGCTCTAGCGCCCATGCTAGTTCGACCCCTCAAACACGAATACCACATCCGCCTAGTGCGAAAATGCCTGGCGTCGGCGCACGAGGCCAAGTTGGGCGCCAGTCTTGGTGTCAATGTCCTTGATGCACGTACTTATGTACTTCTAAAGCAGACGCTCTTGCACAAACGGATATGGAATCAGTGAAGGGGTGAAATCACCCCGTGAACAGTGTTAAGCAAATAGATGATTCAGGCCTACAGCTGAGGCACATGGTGGCAACATGCGGGTTTAAAGGATGGATTCCCTCCCCCTCCCACTTTTACAAAATCTTAGCATGTCAATTCCCATAAATTTTTGGATCTCTGGCCTATCCAACGACGGACATGGCTCATTCTTGTCACTATTTTATTTTGCAATGGTAGTTCATCATTCACGACGATGGAATACGGG